ATTTGCTTTGCATACACAAAAATAGTTAAAAGTGAGATGGTCAGGGAAGTGAATCAAACATCTGGTAACAACCTTTAAGGCAGCTGTACTGAATCTTCTGGGAAGTGCAGCTGCTTTTGTGCTTTGAGGAGAGGTGTTATGTTTGCACCAATGTCCTTCATAAGGCACCCCTTGAATATTTTTGCATAGCCGAGCAAATATGAGAAGCTGCCTCATGTAAAACCACTGTCTTATCTAGCTCAGTTGCACCTCCACAATTTCAGACAGAAGTATTTTTTAGTTTATCTATAATATATTATATTTTAAAAGATAATAAAGGGAAATAAAAATACCAGAAATGGTAGCACGTTTTAAAATATAGGTAAATAACAAGGTACTCTACTTTTAGAGTCAAAATAATTTTTTCTGCAAGAGGGAAAAATGTAATTCTCTTTGTTTACAGAAGGAAGCTCTCTTTGAATTTCTCCAGATGATGAAGATTCAGTCATGTTTGGCCATACATCATCACTGTTTGTAAATTGGACAGCATTATCATGTTCTTTATAAATGGATTGGACAGGATGTGACTCATGACCCAACTAGTGAAGCTTTTAGTCACCTTGAATTATAAGTTCTTTTTGAAGGACCACTAGGTTCAGATGTTAGCAAAAGGAGATTCATTCATAAGGAAATGTATCATCATCTCCGCTATCTAAATAAGGCTTAAGTAGGGATTAATTAAGTGTCTGAAATTACCTTTTGTGCTGGTGTGAATTTCACTGTACATTAATTTTAACTAGGATGAATGCAGGCTAATAAATCTGAACACTAAAAATTCATACTGTCCAGAGTCCAATAGCAGAGGGCCCTGGGGTACTAACGAGGGATACCAATCTCCAGCTTTCGACATCTGTTAACAAATGAGTCTCCAGCTATGCATAAAGCAACATGAAAACTGAAACTCTGTTCTGCAGTGTCCAGAAAACCAACATCATGTTTAATAGGTAAAACACTGAATCTGATGAAGGTCATCTGGAGAAGCCTCAATCAAGAACTGCAGGGTTGGGGTCGATGAATTGGCAGGACCCCAAACCTAATGCTTAAAGAAGCAGGTTACATAAAGCCTGTAAACACCATAAGAACATAGTCTAGAATAACTGACATAATAATAAACAAAATTAGATATGATGTTATAATGGATGCTACACAAATATATGATTTTTAGACACTCCTAAGCAAGGAAATTAAAAGATTTGGTTTCTGGACTAAGTGCCTGTATGAGGTGTGTGTGTGTGTGTGTGTTTGTATGAATATATAATTGGGTTCTTGAGGCCTGCTAGTGATTTTTCGACTGAATCTTCCCATATATGTGGAAGATCTGGCTAATGTAAGAAAGATATGGTTGCTATAGAGCTAATGTCTCCTTTCAAAATCTTTCAAGAACTCTTCACTATATTTTACAAATCAGACTGCGGAAGTCTATATATTCTTGAAATACAAGTAGTTGAAAAGTTGAAATATAAGTGGTCCTCACTTAACAATGGTATTTGGGAACAGAATTTCTATTGCTAAATGATGCAGTCATAAAGTGTGATATTACATGACCACTTCACTCATGACTGCCTGAGGAACATGCATAATTAAGAGAGGATTTACTTGCAACTTCTTCCTGACTTCCCACAAGCAAAATCAGTATGGGAAGTAGGCAGGAAATTGCAAGTCAAAAGCAGGCTGGCAGGTAGGTTGGAAGAACTGCGCAGATAGCAGTGGTGCACAAAAGCAATTTCGGGCCCAAGGGTGGCTGCAGCTGGACAGGGAAGACTTAGTGGAGCAACTTATGGCCTTTCCTGGCAGCTTCTTCGTTGATTTTGCTTGTGGGAAGCTGGCATGTTGCACATGGCAATCATGTAACCATAGGTTGCTACAACCATTGTAAGTAAGCTGGTTGCCAAGCATCCAGATTGCAATAATCAGAACTGGTGTGATAGCCATAACCTTTGAGGACCAATAGTATCACTCAAGGGGACGCAGTGGTTCAGTGGCTAAGACGCTGAGCTTGTCGATCAGAATGGTTGGCAGTTTGGCGGTTCGAATCTCTAGTGCCACTCCTTTTACATGTCCCAGCTTCTGCCAACCTAGCAGTTTGAAAGCACCTAAAAAATGCAAGTAGAAAAATAAGGACCACTTTGGTGGGAAGGTAATAGTGTTCTGGTTGCCTTCGGTGTTTAGTCATACCGGCCACATGACCACGGAGACGTCTTTGGACAGCGTTGGCTCTTCAGGTTGAGCACCACCTCCTAGAATTGCAACGACTATGTACAAAGGGAACCTTTACCTTTGGTATCAATCAGTCAGACAGTCAGCACTATCACAACTTTGAATGAGACTATCTGTATTGGATTATTGAACCAAGTCACAAGTTGTCAGGCACAGGCAAAGTCTTGTTTTTGTTAAGCTATAATTACAAACTAATGAGATTTTTCCATAAATAAATAAATGGGATTTCAGGTAAAATTCAAGTTTTTAAACCTTCAATTGTGTACTGTTATCTAGGACAACACTCCATTGGTATATGACTAAACATAGATTATTACTTTGCAGGCCATTGGATGACTCACTTATCTTCCATAACGTGAATATATTTTGAGTTTAGGGTGGTCATGTTGAATGATAGCCTAGGAGTAAGACTTCTGAATTGATATATTTATGATTGCATTGTTAATTTCTACACAAAGAAGGCAGTATTCATACCTCATGCTGGAAGTCATACCTTATTTTTTCCTAACAAAGTCTTAATCATAAAGTGTGAAAATTTACTTTCTTCTATGTTTATATCAATTTGCCTACGCAGGAGAGTCATAATAATTCCACTTTGACAAGTGCCTTAGTATATATGCTTGCATGGTGACCTTTACTACTAAATACTCCCATAGTACCTCTAGCAGAGTGACATTTGAGATGGTAGCTAGTAAATCTGTTTTGTGGATTTTGTGATGAGATGATTAAAAATTGCTGACACAAAGATAAACAATTAGCATTTTCAGAAACATATCTTCTGGTCATGACATTTACAAAAGCAAAATATTTTGCAGAGTTTTCTCAGAAACAAAATATGACAACATACACTAAAATGTAACTTCTTTTTAAAATTTAAATACATTTACTTTCTGTTCCTGAAATTATCCTAAGACTTTGTTCTCCTTTGCTTTTTAGCTCTACATAACTACTTCCCCTCTTCTTTTTGGAAGGAATGAAATAGATCTCTAGAACATGCACACAGATTTTTCTTCTATGTGTATTTTCAGGACTGAAAAATATTTCTGAATAATTTACTTAAATAGAATTTTAAATATTGACAACAAACAAATGTATAAAAATCATTTAGCACTTCATCAAAATAAATAAATTTCTCTTACATTTAAGCAAAATAGAAATAAATAGCAGGTCTAGTAAAACTAATAAATCAGTCTGTTTTTAAAAAATGCAGCTTAAGTATTTAAACATTTATCCTTCATGCTCACATCTCAATCCTTTGTTCTTGTTTGTAAGAGACAACTCATTGACTCTTATTCTTTTCAGGGTGTTGGACTGAAATCTCTGTACATTGTGAGGAATTTCTAGATGTTCACATTGGCAGCTTCCAAGTCATCCTTGGTTAACTCTTATATCAGCTGAGTATCTGACAACTGTCAGAGTATGCATATTGATGGTATGGAACTTATTATTTTTATTGAGCTGGCTCTTCAGGATCTGTCTTATCTTTTGGTGGTACTTGATATTGCTGCCTTTCTTGTCTCATCCTATGGTTATTATAAGACTATGGGATGCCAATGTAGCTGGTCTGTATATCTGCTATGTGGACGCATGGTAGTTTCACTCCATGTACATATTTGGTCAACTCAAGACAGAAAACAAGTTCCTACCTTTTTAAAATCCATTCTTTTGTAGTTCATTTCTTTTCCTGGATTGTACAGAAACAAATCCTGGATCATTTTTTCCTTTGTACCAGAGTTAGTTTAGTTTAGTTTAGTTTTAATAGATTTGTATGCCGCCCAATCCCGAAGGACTCCGGGCAGCTTACATAAAAACAGTTNGGATGCACAAAAGTTTGTAAACAAACGACATGCTTGATGAAATTTAGGAAAGTTTTTTATAAGTGTTGTTTTGTTTAGATAGCCTACTGAGATTATTGTTAAAGTGCAACACTCCTATGAATGATTCTCACACTTCTATAAAACATAATCTGTCATCTATTACCATTTACACTTAGCTGACTTTTTAAAATTAATAACCGCTGTCTCCCCAAAGAAGATCTCTACAGAACTGATAGCTAAAACTGAAAAGACTAAGAGGCAAAGTTGCTATGGATGAATAGGCAGCAACATAAATTCAACAAACAAACAAATAAATAAATAAAGTCTAGAATGTTCCAAATATAGTTCTACATAGACCATGGCTTGGGATATAAAACAATTACATAATCAAGCTGTTTATGTAAAATAAATGTTTACTTTATTATATAATTTATGTAGCCAGCTGGTTAAATACAATTTAAATTCACTTTGTAATGTTTTATGGTTTCATGGCTTCAAAATCTAAGCGTCTGGTTTGGACAAAACTCGGCAACACTTTTTCATGCAGCTGTTGACAAAAATAGGATTGCCAACGTGATCGCCAACGTCCAATGATGAATATGGCACAAGAAGAAGAATGTTTTATATCCTTATTCATTTCAAATTATTGGCATCCCAAAGGTGCTCTTTTCAAGAGACAACTAGACTTTCTGATTTTTCTTTGAAGATGTTTCACTTCTAATCCAAGAAGCTTCTTCAGCTCTGACTGGATGATGTGGATTGGAAGGAAGGAATGGTGGTGAAATAGAAGAATCCTTCCATTCTCCACCATCAAGTCAGAGCTGAAGAAGCTTCTTGAATGAGAAGTGAAACGTCTTCAAAGAAAAAACAGAAAGTCTAATTGCCTTTTGAAAAAAGCATCTTTGGGACAACCATGACCTGGATGACTGAGAATCTCCATAGACAAAATTGTTGGCACATAATTCTAATATGATAAAATTAATAAAGGAGACTTTATGAACGAGATCAAACAAAGCAATCTGCCACTTCGATTTTCCATCCCAACTCGAGTTAGAATGGTTTTCATAGTTACCTTTGTTTATTGTTGGTAGTTTTAAAGGAATACTTATAATCCCAACTAAATCTTCTGTTGGCACAAGGGAACGCAAAATTGACCGTATTCTAATAGCTTCACCTTTCCCAGTTTGGATAAGCTGTAAAAGAATGTGATATTATTTTTATTATCTTCACAAAAATGTTTTCTTATTTTTTACAAATATTCAAGAACACTAAGAGATAAAAATATTCTATAAAAATTATTTACCTAACAGCAATTTATTTTTTCCCCTCTAATGATTTCCCCCAGATTAAAATGTTTTAGATTTCCTGAGAATATGGCAACAAAGGCAGATTTTTCTACTTTAACATCCATTTTGGGAAGATCCACTTAAATGTAATTTAACTTTTCTTTTGTATAAATAAAGTAGAGCGTCTCTTCATTCTCACTCTGATTTCCACTGAATTAAGATCTCTTTCCTAAATATAGGGACTTATTTTAATAGTGATTTTGAAAGAATACTTCTGTGGCTTAAAATTACTGCTATATACTGATATATGCAATAAAGAACAATAGGAACAATTGGAATTTTTTGATTGGGGGGGTGGTTGACTGGAGTAAAATGAGAGAGGAAAAAACATAATTGTAGCCTTCCATAATTACTTTATTATAATTCAGAATGTTTCCCACTATCAGCCTTGTACCTGGGGTTAGTAAGTGTTAGATCGGTGCGCAATGAAAAGAAGCTAGACTCTGGATACTTTCAGAACCTTTTATTTCTCTAGCTGCTGCATTATGAACTGCCAGCAGGCTGCTGGAGCTCTCTATTTAAGGAGCTCCAGCAGATCAGCCAGCCGCTGACAGCGCTTTAAATTTCTAGCCGCTTGGCGAACCAATCAGCGGTGAACATGCAAATCTGTGCGATGTACGTCCGTAGGTAACAGTAAGAATATATGAACTAAGCCGTGTGTTTCCTATTCTTTATTGAGATCATATATGTACTAAATGAAGAAGGAACTAGTGTGGAGTAACATTAACTCCTGAAGGAAACAAATAAGTAAATATATAAAAGCTCCTTGTGCAGCAAATTCCCCTATCTAACAGATCTTTGCTAGAATAGCTTCCATTCAACCCTAAACCTAAGCACCTTGTTTTTTATTTAGTAAATGAAGACAGCTTAATGGTCACATCAACAAGATTTAAATGTTTCTGTTCTGATGAAGAAACTCAGAACTTTTCCCACGTATTATATCCATTCCCTTACCAGTCAAGAGAGAATGGTGCATTTTCTTGGAATGAAGTGGAGTTATTTTTCCTTATACCTTATTCCTTCTAATTCCCAATTCTTTCCATTACTGCATCTTAATTTGATAGAATTTATTTCTTCTTCTAACAAAATTATAAATTTATAATATTTATGGAATACAAATGATCCACCACAGAAGGTGGGCCTGAACTGAAATAATTCATGTGTTGATAATTTAGAAAATTCATGTGTTAAATTTCCTGTTCCTAAAGAAATAACAAGGCTACTTACATGGAGTTCTGGTGCACAGCGGCCAAGCAAATCTATGAGAGCTGAATAGAAAGACATTATTGCATTGCCCATGTGGACTATTTCTTCCTCTTCCTCATCATCTTCTAGACTAGTAAAAAGAAACCATGTAGCCACAAATAAATATTGAGGTTATTTAGAAAATTAAAAAGTACTGCTATGTTTTTAAGCAATTTATCTTCTTTAATGTAAGCAGTTCAATTACCTTTCTACCTTATATTGTATATTTTTCATAGGTTTTTGTAATGTTAAACTGAACAGCAAATTGTTACAAATACAAAATGTTAAACTAAAATTGATTCTATTTCTTTAGAACTTACATAGAGTAAGTAAATAGAACACATTCCAAATGAAATTGCTGCTATGTTTCCCTATAGTAGTTCATATACTGGTAAATTCTTAGGAGGAATTAATTTAGTAGTCTGGCATAGATGTATTTTTTCTAAAAGTAATCAAACCTTACGTATTGCATTCTCAATAGCCTTTAAAAGGAAGAGGGAGAGAAAGAACGAAAATATTGTGGAAATAAGTGATTTACAGTCAGTGCTATGTTTTAATTTTTCTCTTTTCATTATAAGTTTACTCCAAATCATCTTTGCTCTCCCAGCTGCTTTTCCCAATTAATTTACATAATTATAATACATGTTTCAGATATTATAACAGTACCAGGTAAAGATAATTTGTGTGGGGAAGTAGCAGGTGTAAAAGAATAGAATGTGCTCTAATTGATTTTCATACTAATATTCTTTCTCTAAGCAACTTTTAGATTTTTGTAAAACCAGTTTAATAATGCTTAGTTAGATTACAAAGAGAATCTTTTTCAATAATAGAAAAAGGGAAAATGTCAGCTTTCTCTCTCTGTTGGATGAACCAAAATGAGAGAGACCGTAGAATAGAGAAACAGAGAGCTTTAAGTCCTTTTAACCCTTATAGATATTTCATTGCATTACTTGTCTCATATAGGAGATAAAAATCTACATAAAATTTTATGTAGTTTGACATCGTTATAATTGCAGTAATTCAAATATTACTTCCGTCATATTTTTAATTATTCTCACATAGCAGGCAACTAACTAAAGCAGTGTAATGATAAGAAAAGGGTGCTTACCCATTGCAAAGATACAAAAATGGCAAAAAAGTGGCAAAAAGAAAGCAAAGATAATACCAGCTCCACATTAATAGGTGCCATGGGTACAATCCCAAAACACCTGGAGCACCACATGAAAACTATTGGCATTGAAAAAATTATCCTAGGTCAGTTGCAGAACGCAGCCTTACTTGGAACAGTTTACATCCTGCAACAGTAGCTCTAACATCATCCAACAATGTCTGCCTATCTCGGGTCCTTGAGTTGTACTCAACATGTAGATTTAAAATGCCAAATTCAGTCTAATATGATGGACAGTTCGAGCAACCCTAACTGAAAATGCATATGTACTATTTTATACATACCTAATGAATTTTGAATTTGAATTTGAATTTGAATAGATTTGTATGCCGCCCAATCCCGAAGGACTCCGGGTGGCTTACATAAAAACAGTTTAAAAAACAGAATACTAAAAAAGTTAAAAATACAAAACAGAGCGAGTTAAAAAAGGACACAACATACACTCGGTATTAATGGGGCTGAAGCTCAATCAGAGATCAGCAGCCCCAGGCCTGCCGGAACAGCCAGGTCTTAACAGACTTTTGGAAGGCCGAGAGAGTAGGGAGGGTCCGGATCTCAGGGGGTAGATCGTTCCATAGGGTCGGGGCAGCTACAGAGAAGGCCCTCCCCCGAGGAGCCACCAGACGACATTGTGCTTTTCATTACTTTCTGGCTTTTGAAAAAACCTTAAATTTTAATCTTAAATTTTATAGATAATTCAAGATATGCTATGAATAAAGCTGAACGAACTAGAACCAAAATAAATTAGCACAATTATGGCTGCAGTTCTATTTGTCAAATTTTTATCTCAACAATACAGTCAGCTACATAAGGCAAACGAGTGGATGAAAACACTGAAGAAGTTCATTCTGACTTCATCTCGATATTGCCAGAATTACTGCTACACCAGATTTTTATATTCTGAATTACAAAAAAAATAAAATACAACGATGAGTAGAAAGACATATGTTGAGCATGAAAGCTGCCAAATCAAGCTCTTGCCACGGCTGGGAAACAGTCCTGTTTGAAATCCTATGGAGCAGCTGGCACTGATAAGGCACTTCTGGCATTTCTATTTAAGATTACTCTTTATCCTAGTTTGTTAGCCTTCTGATAACATGCACTTACAATTTTCTCTTACAACCCTGAGAAGTAAGATCTAGAGCTGGGTTCGCAGAAATTTTAATTGCTTCTTGCATCGCGGCTAACAGGCCGTTTCCGCCTTCTCCTCTCAGAGCAGGGCCAAAACACTCTGGACGTCGAATAAGAAGCTTAACAAGAACACAAGCATTTTCTTCAACACTTTCACCTGGAAACCCACAAAACACAGAACACAGTTATCCTGACAAAATATAAACTCAAATAAAAAAGATCCAGGTGAAAATTAGATCTTGGTAATCTTTGCAGTGTCTTCAAAGTTTTGCCCATAAAACTGCATTATTAAACTCTGAGATCTTTGCATGTGTTTTATTTTATGGAAGGAGAAAGAACTTGGGTTTTCTAAAAAGGAACTGAAGCGGAAGAATATCGAAAAACATGGAATACGGTAAGAGGGTTTTTTTTAATTCTAACAATGTGTAAATTGTGAATTGGAAACAGTATCAAGCATCCCACGGGCCTCTGAGAAAGCAAAGTAAATTGCAGCCCATCAAGTTAAAATTAACACAAAGAGGATCTTGTGCTGAAATAGTATGTGCAATAGCAGAATACTGATATCCTTATCCTGGAGATGGGAATGGTACAGGGAGGTTGTGGGGACCCATGTAGGACTCTCCCCACAGGAGTCAGAGGTTCAGTTTGCCAGACCATTAGGCACCTGTGTGCTTGCAAACAGACTGCACCATTACAATCCAGAGGCCCCTGTAATCATTTTACACCCATCTAATCTTTATATAATTACTATCTGCATTTAAATCCTCTCTTATCTAATTGGCCAAACATTATTCTTCTGTGCCATATGTATATTTATATACATGGTGCAATGAAATGGATTCTAATTTGTACAAGTATATGCTATATAGAGTAGATTATTATCTAGAGCAGGGGTGTCAAACTCAAAGTCCACAGCCTCCAACCAGCCCATAGGATGCTTAGATCTGGGCTGCAGGGCTGCTCTAGAAACAGTGAAGAACCAGCCCACAGTGCCTCTGCCAGCGAAAACAGAACTCGGGAGAGCCACACACAGCCCTCATGGGCTCTGCAGGAGGCCGTCGTAGCTGGAAACAGAGCTCAGGAGGGCCATTAGTGGCCTTCACAGGCTCCACTTTCACTGGCAGAGAGTTGCTGGAGGCCATTGCAGCTGGAAATGGAGATTGGGAGCCCATTTTCACTGGCAGAGCGCTCAGGCCACCTCAGGCGCACGCAACACAGGTGGTGTCAAACTGGCCATACCCCTGGCCAGACACACACGCACCCTCTGAGAACAAGCCCAACCCTAATGCAGCCCTCAATGAGATTGAGTTTGCTACCCCTGCTCTAGAGCAACAAAAGTTTTTAGCATACGTTTGCAAATGTTTCTATACAGCCATTATACACTATTAAAACAGTTTCAGCTCTCATTCGGCTGTGCAGGGATAAATCGTAAAATTAAATCTCAGCAGTGTAATCCTAACTCATGTCAATTCAATATTTATGCTTAAGTGCCTTGGGTGTTTAAATTGAATTTAAACAGAAAGCTGTAATATAAATCAAATAAATAAATAAATTACCATTAACAAAGACAGCAAATCTTAAGAATGAGAGGTACCGTTCACCCTCTATGGGATTCCAACCAATATCAGGGTATCCGGCTGCTAAAAGCATTTGGCAGCTCTGAAGACCGCAGCCTGCCAAGTAGGTTACAACCTGTTCAATACAAACATGAATATCATCTTAGGCTTTGTTCTAAGCAATCAAAATGAAAGTGAGCTGAAACAACATATTGATACGTGTGAGTAGGTAAAAATGCATGGACAAACATTTTAAGCTTCTAAAAAATGTAAGGAACCAATTTCTCGGGAGATAGGAAATTGTTTTCAGAAGAAACTGATTTCTATAAATTTACTAGCAGACATAAGAGACAACAGCCATGGAGACAACAACTGAGAAAAATATGAACAGACGGGAAGGACTGAATTCAAATAAAGTTTTTCTTCTTTTCCCAAAAAGTGACTGGGACTGACAGATCTATGGATGAACCAAGGGGTCAGTCAAGGACAGTCACAAACACAGGAATCCCTGATCAAATGCTTGAGAGCATCTCCAGGACAAACCTAGCTCCCTTTGTTGCCTGGACTCAACAAATCCCATGAGCCCCCTATCATTTCCTCTCAGGGTTCATGTTGATTCTTCATAAAGGTAAAGGTAAAGGTTCCCCTCGTACATATGTGCTAGTCATTCCCGACTCTAGGGGGCAGTGCTCATCTCCGTTTCAAAGCCGAAGAGCCAGCGCTGTCCAAAGATGTCTCCATGGTCATGTGGCTGGCATTATTAAACACCTTCCCACCCAAGATGATTCCTATTTTTCTACTTGCATTTTTACATATTTTTGAACTGCTAGGTTGGCAGAAGCTGGGACAAATAATGGAGCTCACTCCATTACACAGCACTAGGGATTCGAACTGCCGAACTGCCGACCTTTCTGATCGACAAGCTCAGCGTCTTAGCCACTGAGCCATCGCATCTTCATAATATAATATAAATTAGGAAATTAAACACATCTGCTATGAGAAGACCATACTTTAGTGACAATAGCCATAAATAATATACTACACATAAATAATATACTAAATAAATATACTAAGTAAAAACTAAGCCCCATTATGTAAGAGGAAAAGCTGCTATGAATCAACAGCCAGAAAACTCACTTCTTTGTCTCTCAACACTGATGAGTTACCTATTCTGCAAGAAAGACAACTAAGATCAGAGAACATCAAGATTGTAGAGCAAGTTTTGATAAAATGAAAAGTTGTACACAATGTTGAACAATTACTTTTTCTAGGTCTGGCTCCTCCAATGCAAGGGCAAGCTCATTATTGTCCATTACGGAAGCGGCTGCTACATCTAATGGAGTGGACCCTCTCATAGAAGGAGAAGCTGGAAGAAAAAGAAATGATTATGCATAGAATTAAAAATATCAGGAATGTAGTTACAGGCATTTTGCAGCAGAGGGCAGCAGTTACTTTGCAGTTAGCTAAAGTTTAAACATTCATGTTTTTTTCTTCATGGTTATGGAGAGAATCCACTGATTGCTGATTGTTGTTGTGACTGTTGGTTTGCTTTCAGCTCAGCATTTTATGGCTTAATTAGTAGAGATTCATCAATCTTCACTTTTCTGGTTTGTTCCTAATTGTTTTATTGTAATAAAATTATAATAAAATAATAAAGCAACATCATAACATACTTTGCATAAAAGTATAAAATACCAATGGCAAAAGACTGTGAAAGTTGTGTGCTCATCAAAATAGCATACTTCTGGGCTCAAGCAGAATCACTACCTGGTACTTTCCCACCTCATACAATAATTGACATGCATCATAATAATAGTTTGTGTCACTATACAGTACATGTCACATGGAGGTATTTGCTGGAAACTAACAGTAAACAGCAAATACTTGCTTATGCAATGTTATGAAATGATCTTCACTTTCTGAAATACACATGATTCCCCCCCCCCCCGATACACAGAACACAGAACTTCAAAAAAAAAAACATAATTAAAGAGGCCAGAGCTATTGTGGTTCATAGATCATCATTGTAGTTCTGGAATAATGTTCAGACAGGACAGTTTAAACATAAAATAAAAGGACTGGTTCAAAAATGTGACATAAATATAACTTCAAAGAATTCTATGAGTCTTCTTTCCAGATTTGTAAATATATGCTTACTGACTGTGCGTATTAGGATTTTCCTGGAGTAATAGTTTAGTAACATTAAAATACCAATATAATATCTCAAATGTTGACCAGCTCTCAACACACTTGAGATGCCTTATCTTTCATATGTAAGGTTTTAATCTTGAATAGTCAGTTAAAAGCCACCTTACTAATGTGCTTGGTTCAATCTTATTGAATGTGGTGGAGACAATTATGCTCTATGTCTTTTACAATATGATCTGTAAAAAGCTCTAGAGGGTTTATAATTCTTTAATCTACAGCACAACTTAAAAACCAGTTACATAAATAAAAAGAGTATCAATATGCAAAATAACTTAAATTAGGATTTCATGTAGCAGGCTACAAACTAAAGTGTTTGATATGTCAAATTAAGCCAAATGGCTATTAAAATTAAATAGCATACCAAGTCCAACATTGCTGTTTTCAAGTAAGTAGCTTAAATGCTCAAACATGGCTTTTTGGTTTTGGCGACTGATCCGGCAAAAATAGCAAAGAAACCGACAACAACTTGCTACCATTTTAGGAAAAGCAATCTGCAGAAGAAAAACACCATTAAATAACCTGCAAATTTTCTATTTAAATATTCATACAAAAAGTTTTTCTCTGCTGCTTTGCACCAATTACTTTAATAATACTAATGGAGAATCTGCAAAAATCGGGGGACCACTCAGGATTGCCAACAGAGAGAGTATTCTCAGCAAATATTCTGTAAAGGGCCACAATTGCTTCCTATTTTTTGAGTGGCAAATCAGGCCACTCCAAGAATGTTTGTGCAATACTTTTGATAACATTACAGTTCTTTGGATACATGAATGTAAGCATGTTTGTTGCTAGTGTTACTTTGTTGGCTGAATGAATGATTTGCAGGGAATATTTATGCAAAGTCACGAGCAGTGTGAATCTGAAAATTAATAGAACTGAACTGAAAATTAATCAAAGAACAAGGTGGTTGTGTTTTACAGGGAAAACTGAATGGACAATATCAATGTATACACACACACAAAAAGAAAACTAGGGCAAATACACAAATTTACAGTAAGCATCTTGGGAAAATATTTACTACCAATGAGAGAATGGGTGGAGAATTTTATGATGTACACATATGGAAAGAGAGATATTGGGTAATCTGTTGTGTATTGTGAGGAATCAACATTTGTGAAAAGTAGTGAACGGTGTTTATGCCTAATTTGGAAGGGTAAGCAGGACATAACACGGGGAGGGGAAAACTAAGTTCTCAGTATAAATAGGAAGTAAAAATGTAAAGAAAAAAGAGACAACATATAAATAAGGCTGACATAAGAATGCTTTGTAATTATAGGAAGATACAGAAAGTATAATTAACTGTGTTGGTGGTAACTAGCTATAGCTATGATTTGTTTTCCTTTTTGTATCTCATGGTTTTAATTTCTTTGGATTACTTTTTCTTTGGTTGTGATATCATCATACTATTTAGCTCATAAAACAAATAAAGGTTATGTATAGAATGTATACATGTATGTATATTTGCATGTAAAGTTATGGTAAACTTAATTATTAAATCCTTATCTTTAAAGTCCTCACAATTAAAATATGAATCTTGGAACCTGTCCTAATTTCTGGCTTGTTTTTTTTCCCTAACGAAAATTAGAAAGATGCATTATATTTATCATTATTTTTTATTGTCAAAAGTCTCTAACTTTGGTCCAGATGCCTTCATTTTCATATTTGTATAATTGGTATAAACAATTACTGGAACTCTCAAAGAAGTATGTATCATGTGACATTATATATTCGGGAGGTACAACATGTTTTTCACTCTTTGCCCTATAAATAGCATAATGTAATGATTAAAGCGCTGGAATTGGACTGAAAACCCAGGTTCAAGATTGTTCTACTCAACAACAAAATCATGAGTTGACTTTGGAGAAGTCATCTTTCTATCCAAATATTTATGAGAAATTCAAAATATTTCTTCATTATTATGTATGTAGTAACAGAAGAGAAAACCCAGCAAGTTTTATCTAATACTAAAAGCATTTGCATTATGGAGGACATGTCTGGGTCAATACTCAAAGCCATTAGCAATTTTTTTTCTGACATCTTAAAACATTAGTCATTTACATTTTTGAGAAAAATGCCACAATCATTCAAGTGTCAAATTGCAGAGCACCACAGTAATCATTAAACCTCCTAAAGTATATGCATTGAAATTACTTTAGAATTCAGCAGCTTGAATAAAAAATAAATGGTACTCTATTGCACCAAATCTTGTTGACAGCAGGCAATTATTTTATGAGGATTTTTCCCTGCTAACTTTAACACTGTATCATCTGATTGCGACTGAGAAAAGAATTAAAATGCGAACATGTCTAATTTTTTCCTCCGTGAGAAAGTATAATTTCCTCCCATTTTTGTTATCTGCATTAAATTAAAATCATTTCATTTTTTTAACAATATGTATATTACGTTTGTATAATTGCATTGCACTGTTCAGCCAATGATCTTAAACTTAAATAATTAGCTTTGCAGTGGACCATAATGTCACATGTTAGAAAAATGTATCAGAAATCTTTTGATCTTATTTCTACTTTCCGATGATCATGGGAAAGTCATGGGAAATTATTTTCAAACTAAATGTTTGAAGAATAAAATATGTAATCGGTTACTATCAAACTTCCTCCCATAATCAGAAAAGCACATAGAGGCAGGTATACTATATATACTAAGTTGTGACTTATTAACTGAATGGAGCTGAGTGTTTACTGGCTGGATGCCCTTCCTGTCACCAATGCAGAGTTTTATTCAGCATATATATTCTCAGTGTGCCCAGAGAGAGAAATATCTGCCTCTGCCTGGATCAAATTAACAGCCTCCTGGTTGTGAGTCGAGATCTCCACTTCTAGGTCACTGCACCACTTGTTTCACTTTATTACATGTGCATAGCATATTTATACTAGACCTCTTACTTATAGTAAGCATAGAACACCACAAATATCTATGAAATTACCTGAGATTTGTCTCCTCCAAGCACATTTACCATTACTTCCATAACTGTCTCATGCATACCGAGGACTCTCATAAGATTAGGATGCTGATAAAATACTTTGTTGTTCATTATATCTCTAAGTGAAAAAAAAAGTGAAAGACAGTACTTTTATTTATTTTACAACAGCACCATTTTTAGTTCCACAATTCAAAACATATTAGAAAAGAATATTAGAATACATTTTAATTCTAAGGGGGTAAAACAGATTACAAGTTTAGTGTCATAAAAAAAGCCAACTTTGTTGAGGTCATGCTCAATTATAAGTGACAAGGTTTGCACAGTTAAGTTCTATTCAATCTAAATCAGATTGTTAAAGCAGAAAAAGAATTTAGGATTAAATCTTGAATTATGCGGTTTGGGTTTTGTTTTACCTGTTCTGTTCCCATTTTTAATCAGAATCAGGACTCTCAGAAAGAGAGGGATTTAACTACTCTCTTATAAATAGATTCCTTAAAATTTCACACGTAGATGTGTGTTTTAAAAGGCAATAAGGAAAAAAGAAATAAAACACAGACAATATTTGAAAAATGAAACAGGTGAATAGTTCTGACCTATTGTGAAATACAGTACTGATAATGTATCTTGAGTCAATTTTGACTTTTAACAGTCACCTAGCAGGGAAAATCTGTCCCCATCTTAATTTTTCAGGGTTTCATGGGACAGCATGCACTAACTTTAATACAAAAACAAGGAGGTTACTTGCCTGTTATAACATTAATTGGTTGTTATTTGATCAATAGAGGTGGTTTGAAAAAAAACCTTGCATCTTAAGCCCTGGAGAACCTTTGCCACAGAAAGTCCTGCACCAATGACTATCTGAACAGTCTTGTAACAAAACCAATCAGGTTGACAAATGGGCCTAGAGTATGTCTTAACTAAGAATCAATAAAGCTGAATGTTCTAACTATATTTTAAGGCATTAAAGAATTTATTTCTTACCCTAGGCCATTAATCATGAGCAATTCTTCTTCTTTTCCCATCCTGACACTGAGAAGTGAACGAATTTGCCCCAGTGCTGCTAATAAGTTGATTGTGTCTTGCACGGAATTAGCACTTATAGTATAAGATTTCCTCAGTGCTTGCAGCAGCTCACCAATGCTATCATACTGCCGTCGAAGTAAGTTAAACATAATGCGAACTAATTCTGGATCTTGGATCTGATCTTCCTGTGCCCAGCGAACCATAGTTTGAGAGATCAGCTCTTTCAGAGAAACTGCGATAGAAGGGGAAAGGTAGGAAAAAAATACACACGAATCTTGACATAAAAGCTTGTCAAAAGCTTGCTGCAATTAAGGAAGCTGAAAGTTTAATTAGCAATGGTTACTTAAAGAGTTTAGGGGTTAGAATTTCATCTTGGGTGGGAACAGCGGGTAGTCGCAGCCCTGCCAATTATGCAATGACCTTATGTAGATAAGTTGCATCACTTTCAGGCTAACAATGTGTATACATGTTGTTATCTGCCTTCTCTTATCCTTGAATAAGGGAAGAAGTCAATGATTACACCTTTTGCAATAAAAGGAGCACAAGCGGCTGCATTACTGATATAGGAGATATTTCGATTCATGAAATGTGAATGCACATCACATAATTCCAACAAACATTCAAGTCACATACTCATATCCTCTGTGTTTCCTAATATCTGGCTTTTGATGGCAATAAACCAAACTCCAATTTGCCATAATTTCCACTGGCTGTCACTTCAGTATCACTTTATTCTCTCGCCCCGCAAAAAATATGTGCCACTGAATTCATAGATTTATAGAACCATATTTGAGAATGAAAATCTAACATAAAAAATGGAATTTTCACCTACTTTAGGTCAAAGATATAGGTTTACTAAAACTCTACAGTTCTACTAAGAATTGAAAGATTGGTGGATCATGCAATCCTCATAGGTAAAACCCAAAAAGAGAGACACCTAGGCAAGAGCAAAATCTCTTTCTTCTGATTTATGATGGCAAGATAAACTGTTGAGTGGAATTTAAACCATTAATTGAGCCAGCTGTCTATTATATATGGGACTTCAGGAGTACACCACCACATTTTTTTAAAATATCTAAAGCATGAAGAAACATTCACAGTGTGCAGTGCATATTGGACTACCTGACTCATATTATTTTGCAATTCCCATGGGAATCATCATTTAAAGATGAAGGAAAATTTACATAGTAACATGATTATATGTGCCATACAGATATCAATGAAATAGAATTCTTGAAAGAGACAATATATGAATTCTTAAGTCAAAGTTCAAGGAGTGACCAGAAACTTTATTTCCCATTTCATAAAATGAGACAAAACATTCCAGATAGGAGACAAAGAGAAGCCATCAAGCTCTCAGTTGTGGTTAAGTCTTTTTAAAAATATTGGGTGTGTTAACCTCACTTTCTAATCATCTTCAGAAATTAAGTATTTAGCTACCTTAAGTTTAATAGAGATCTTAAAAAAACATGCTTGCAAAGCCACCTAGCAAGTTTACCTTCATTCCAGAATAAAAGAAAAAATAACTAGGAGCTGAAGAACTTAAAGAATGTGAAATAAATGGCAAAACCTAAATAAGATTAGGGGAGACACGATAACTTTGTTCCAATATCTCAGGGGTTGACACAAAAAAGAGGGATTCAAACTATTCTCCAGGGCACTTGAGGGTAGAACAAGAAGCAATGGGTGAAAACTATCAAGGAGTGAAGTACCTTAGAACTGAGGAGAAATTTCCTGACAGTTAGAACAATTAATCAGTGGAACGGCTTGCCTCCAGAAGTTGTGAATGCCCCAACACTGGAAGTCTTTAAGAAGATGTTGGATAGCCATTTGTCCTGCCTTGGCAGGGGGTTGGACTAGAAGACCTCCAAGGTCCCTTCCAACTCTGCTATTGTATTGTATTGTAAGATTTTAACTTATAAGTTATAAACTGATTAAGGGACCAGACAAATATATATATATATATATATATATATTCCTATATTAGGAATTGTAATTATATTAGGAATTGTAAAATTCATAATATTCAAAATTTGTCTGGTCCTTTAATATATATATCTTGGTGATGTTTCGACGAGGTCCCACTTGCCATCTTCAGGCTGGTGCGAGCAAAGTGTAATCGGAACTCCCGTCTTTCTATAAATATTGGTGCGGGTATGTGTAGTGCGGGATTTGTTGCTGTGAGCAACAAAGACAGCCTTCGGCACTGACCAAAAAATAGCCAACATCTTAAGAAACCCCAAAGACAAGATCCAGCTAAAAAACCAAGGAGTCTATTTAATATCATGCAAAATCTGCGCAGGAACATACATTGAACAAACTAATAGGAGAATAAATGCACGCATTGCAGAACACAAGAACGCAGTCATAAAAGAAGAAAAAACTTCTTCCCTCTTCCAACACCTTAAAGCAACAGAACATGAAATTGATTTTTAAAGAACCAAATTAATCTCCAAAACTGAACACTTCAACAAGAGAATAATTAGGGAAGCCATCGAAATAGAGAAACACCCCCACAACATGAATAAATATGATGATACCTTCCATCTACCAGACATCTGGAAACTAGCCCTAGTCAACAAACGAGTCCCAGCCACAAAAACCAACACTGGACCCAGAACAACACAGGACGCAACCACCAATCACCCTCACCAGATTCAAACCCAAACCCATCCCATAGACCATATGCAACCACCATCCAGAAGCCAAACCACGGCGGCATTTTCCAAAAGTTGTTAAGAATGACAGATTTGAAAGAGAATTCCTTGGAAGACCTTGTCTTTTACCACTGCTATTAAAATGTTCAATGAATTTTTTTCTTTAAAAAATCCTTCTACATTCTATGCATGAGAAAGATGAAACTGTGAGGTTCAAATTCATAAATTTCTAGGAAGAATTTTAAGATGGAATTCCATGCTCACAGCATAGTTGGGAGATTTCTTAAATGCCTTAAAGTGACTTACTTATTATTTTCAGACTGTATCATAAAGGAAAGTAAATTCCCTTAATGAATTATTCCTGTCTATGCAGTATGTTGCTGTAAGTCACTTAATTCATTTTTACTTAAACAGCATACAGCACTTGTACAGAAGTAAATTATAAACTAATAAATTAATAAATCGATAAATGACAATCTTTTATCTTAGTTTAGTAGACAAGACCAATATTTGGTAAAGATGCTTCAAATGTGGAGTAGCCTTGGCCTTTCTGATGTGAACTGGGAAAGGAGAGTTCCTCAGACTACAACAGAGAAATGATAAGCAAAACCTGCAGAAATATATAAATGTATTGGTCTAGTAAATTCTTCATTGATGTTGCTCAAACCACCTAATAGAGAGGCTTATTTTGTCCTCAAAATCCTTAGGCACCATGAGAATTGTAGTTACACTATAATCAAGGATGTAACTAAAGGTTACACCCTTGATTATGCCTGCAAACACTGGCAAAGCAGTGGGCTAGCCACTGTAACCAGGGTGGGTGGGAACGAGGGAGAATAAAAGCAAGAGAACATGGATATGGGAGTTCTCCAAAGCTTAAGGAGCTTTTCTATATGTATAGAGCCTTCTCTTGAAGTTCCTCTTCTAGCTGTTAGACTGCCTGGAGGAAGGTTTATGAAAGCGTCTCGAGGGAATACGATTACTTGGAGCTATAAATGAACTAAAGAAAAGTTCAAATGCAGCTTTTCATTCTAACCAAATAACGCTGAGCTTTGTTTCAAAACAAAATATTAAAAGAAATATACATTTAAGGGGAAAAGCTTCCATGCCATAGCAGATTATATCTTTAAAAGAAACCACAAAAGGACTCCTGCAAAAAAAAAAAAAGCATGGGAGACCTAGCTTTAATTGCTTTTTTCAGCAGGAAGTTTTGAAAAGCTTATTGTAAAAACATTAGGGTAGCAGCTCAAAGGAAAGATGCAGTGCCTATCATCTTGTCCTGAATTTAATGATTCGTTAGATTTGGTTAGAACACAAGTCTTTGCAGACAGACATGGATAATTAGAGTCTGAGGTGGGCAGTGAGGTGGAAAGGCAGGCACTTTGAACTAATTTATGACATCTTCAGGGGGTAAGCTTATTTTGATTAGACTATTTCATTCTTTTAATCCTGAGAGGGAGACAGCTAGGACAGCATTTTTCTGCAACTTTAAGATGAGTGGACTTCAATTCCCTTGGTGGCTAAGGAATTCTGGCAGTTGAAGTCTACCCATCTTAAAGTTGCTGAAGTTGAGAAACAGTGGTAGAGGCATAATCAAAAAGACAAGACAAATGTATTTTGAATACGCTGTTCCTTCTCATTTCTCTATCTAAAATGAGACAATTTTAATCAAGAGCCTAAAGCTGAAGAATATCTCTCCAGGAAATGTGATTAGAGAAGAAAATTACAACACACATAATAGGTGTTCACCACGATTCTTTTGAATGGTCTGTTCAAAAAAGAAAAAAAATAGAAATAGTTATATTCTTAGAAAAAATCTATGTGAGATGATAACACTGTCCCCAGTTATATTTGTTATATAAAAAAGTTATACACATGCTTATCTTTCCTCTTCCTATTATCCAAAATGGGGATTAAGAAACTTTATTATTTCCTCTGCAAACTAGCTCACACAGTGACTTAAACATCCATGGTAAAATATAAAATTAAACAAAAATATCAGAAATAACATCATAACATAAAACCATAACAACTAACTGCATTCCTTCTCCAGTAAAAATCTTCCTTTCATAAGTAAATTGACAGAAGAAAATTATTCAGCTCAACCTGAATCTAATATTAGTTTAAGACTATCGTGAGTTTTGGGCTTTTAACTTTGTGCCTAAAATGTACCTAAAACTTTGTACCTAAAATGCATGACATATTTAACCCATGACACTGTTCTAGATTGGATATCTGATTAATTCTTTAATATATATTCCAGATGGACTGTACTCTAGATCTCTCTGTGAGACTGATAGTGCTTCTTGTGCATGAGAAACTGCAAAGTTATAGTTCATCCAAAGCTGTAATTTAGTTTAAGGAGTACTGTTATTAATTTAAATTCTTACTAGGATATTTATCTTCTTCTTCTGTTGCTTCTCTCTTTTCTGTTTTGTGTATTCCTTTTATTTTATATATCAAAGAACATAGTTTTCCAGCCCATGAAATATTTTCTTCCTCTTCTTTTTCTTCATCTAATGGAATACCTAGTGTGTAAGGACAATAAAAATAGTATACTTGCAATATTCTAATAATTAAAGAACCATCTTTATGCATCTCATGCAGTAATTAAACAAGCACAATCTTTCAAGGAAGGGCTGCCAGTGAAAATAAAAAAGGACCAGGAAACTTTATTGCAAAGAACAGAATAAACATCAATGAATGGGATAGGTGAGGCAAATGATTGAATGAGGATTTAATCATGCTGTACTGCATAAATTCCTGAAGTTTACAGCCCAGACCAGGTCAATGGACATTAAATTATGTTAGGGAAGTTAATGAGTAACAGCAAGTGGTAGCATCCAACTGACCTTAATTAATCTTGAAAATGTTAAATAGATTGGATCTGATCAGTATGTTGATGGGAGATCACCAATGAGAATACCAACGGCTGAAAAAAAACTTCCTATTGAATAGCAATAGTAAACCATATCTATACTGCTACCAAGAAAACTACATGGATATATCCACATAATAATAACCAGGAGTTGAGCTCCATTTAAGAGATACTTCATTTTTTTTTCTGGGGAAAAGGAGAAGTATTGAAAACCAGCTCAGTGAGATCCACTGCTAGAAAAAAATATATGTGGTCCTTCAAATTAGTTATTTTTTTACATTGAAATTGTTTTTTTTTATTTTGTCCATATTATGTTTTCTATAAAAATGCTATAACAATGGAAGATCTGTAAGTAGTAATCTTTTATAGACAAAAAATAAATAAAAAAATCACAGGAACAATATGACCACTCAGCAAAATGAATACTTGCTACCCACCACAATGAATTAGGAGCTTATCATGAAACTCATATAGCTCTTCCCGAATCTCCACTGGACAAGGACAATCTTCCCCCAGCTGAAAATTCAGCAGCATATTAATCTGAAATTAAAAGATTAAAATTAGAACTAGGGTTGTACTGTACTCAGATTTTCACTTTAATTTTTGTTTCAATCCATTATAAGAATATTTTTTTTAAAAACTCATCAACATCTGAGACAGAGGCCCACTAATAATTTTCCTGTTCCCTCCATTTTCTTTTTAACTCTGTCCTAGAGGACACGGGATTATGTTTTTTATTCTATTTCCTTCTATTTGGATGCCCAGCATCAGAAATACTAGATAGTTTACGCCAGTGGTGGGTTTCAAAATTTTTTAGAACCTCTTCTGTAGGTGTGTGGCCTGCTTTGTGGGAGTGGTTTGCTGGCCATGTGACTGTGTGGGAATGGCTTGCCAGCCATGTGACTGGGTGGGCATGGCCAACTTGTAAAATGTGGTGAAACTCACTTAACAATGCTTTTACTTAGCAACCAAATTGTTGGCTCAGAATCTCTGGCATTTGAAGCACTCAAGTCTTAAAGCTGTCAAGTTACAAGACCCTTGCACCTCTAACTCTTTAGAAAAAAAAACCCAGGGGTGTTCAAACTTGACAGCTTTAAAACTTGTGGACTTCAACTCCCAGAATTCCTCCTCTCGCTCTTCATCTTGATGATGTGCGGATGGGCAGGGGGAGGGAGCTGGAACCGTTTCTAAACGGCACTGTAGATTTGTGGAACTTCTATAGAAGAGGTTAGAACTGGCAGGAACCCACCCCTGGTTTACGCAGCATTCTAGTAATTCTGGATATAGTGTTCTCCAACAATACAAAATGTGCCAATAAGATTCAGCAATACAGTTTTCTAGATTCCTAGATTAATTCCACTTTTATAACTCTTAGAAATTCTGTTGAAAACTTTAAAAAAGTTTGAAAGTTAAAAACAACAGCTTTCTTTATTCTAATTCAATACTATTACCGAATAGTAAAGAAATATTGCAAGATACCTCCTTCTGAGCAATTTTTTTGTGGTGTAGACACCTTTGTAATATACGCTATATTTTAAGATTAGTGAAGGTCTTTCCCTTTTCTCTCTTTCTATACTTCCTGCTAGAACAGATGAAGGATCTTCATCTACCTGCTCTTGAGGAGGAGAGCGAAATTCCTTTGTCTTCCTGGCAGTCAGCGCGGCAGACATATTCAAGGCTTGCATCAGTTCATTATACCTGTATTTTTGATTATACTGTAACTTTAAGACAAAGGTATCTGCAAAGGACACAATAGCTTCCACTCGGTGTTTCAGTTCACAATCACAGAAATAATTGAGCAGCTCACACATCTAATATGAAAGAATAAATGAATTATATTGGTGAAAATTCGTGTTTGTGTGTGTAATAAATGCACTTCTAAATGGGAGGGCAATACACATCATTATATGTGAAAAGTCAATTTTGTGGGCAATGAAAAAGGAAACTCAGTTCAATTCAAACTGTCCTTTCAGTAGTGTAAGAGTTTTCCAGATAAAATAAGCATTGTTATATTTCATTCATTATTGAATCTATAAATCTACATATTGCTAGGATGTACTAATCTGAAAATTTGGGAGTGGCCCTCTCCTCCCAGATATAATCCACTGAACAAACAAGTGATGAGTACAGTGACTGACAGCCTGATAGCCTCATCTGGACCAATACTACTTTGATCCAAATTTTCCTAACTTTCTTTCTTTTAACTTTTTCTGTGATAAAATGGTGCATTCACAAGTAAAGATTTTAGGTTCTGGATAATACAGGAGATCCAATATCTGTAATATTTATAATAGTTTAACTTCAGCTTCAGCCTACCTATTGTAACTACATAAATGCTTGTATGTCTTTACAAACACATTTGCAAAGTCTGATAGCTAGAGTATTTCTATTCAACCCAATCTCTCATTTGCTTATTAATACACAAGAGCAGAGGCGAATCAGTATAAATGCTTCTACATCACCATGTTTTCCATCTCATAAATATATATGTGTCTCATTTATCAAATATCCATAAAGATTTCTGGCACAGTAAGATAAAATTGATTTATTCCAGGTTATATATTAGGACTAAAAGAAAATTGAGAACACAGTGGGATACTACATGTGATGTTTTAGTAACATAATATAATTGCAGATATATTAAGGTTATTACCTGAAGTTTAACCGACTCTGGCAATCTTGTTTGCAGCAACCCCTTTATTGGGGTCTTAGTTTCCTTAATGGCCTTTTCACCAGCCTCTACTGCTTTTTCTTCTATTTGGGTAACATCCTCTTTCTCTGTTTGCTCCATTACTTCTTCTTTGCTCTCACCAAATACACATGGATCAATGAGAAGCAAAATCTGTTTAACATCATGATCATTAAAAACTCCCATCCTAAGCAAAGTTCCTATAAGTTTCAGAACAGGAACAAATTGGAATTCAACTTTCCCTCCAACAGGGTCTCGGATATGTGCTCCGCTGCAGTAGACTGCTTCTGTCAACATGCTTATGGTCTTTGTCTTAAGAATCTCTAGTGGTATCTCTGGACTAGGCTTTTGATGATCCTCATTGGACAAAATGAAACAAGGGGTAGAGAATTTAAACTTTGGTTTCAAGCATGTGCTAAGTCCAACTCCAGGCAAGCCATGTTTCTTAGATCCATCTGGAAATAATCGGATTTTCCTGGTTTCATCTGTAACAGGAGTGATAAATTCATTGTTCATCATGAGTTTTGATTCTTTTGAATATTCTAAATGAATGCTAATCAACAAGTCATAGAATCCAGACCTTAAAAGTCCAGGCAAATACCGATTATCTATTGTGTAAAATATCTGGGAAACATCCACATGGCTGCAAAGAGCATGAGCTACTCTATTATTACCCAGAGCACAAACAGAACTATATAGCTTTAAAGTATGATAGTGGAACCTCATCAAATCTTCTTGTTCACATAATTCCAAAATGTCAATACACCTGAAATGATACAAAAACAAAAATAAGTTCTACAGCATGTTTTCTTTATTAAGTATACATTATTAGACACTGTGTGAGAAAAATGTAAGGCTGAACTCTATGAGCCCTGTACCGTGGTTTAACTAGAGTGTTGCAGGCAAACTCTACCCACGCCTTGGAGCTCGATCCTGCTGGACCTAGATTGTTGAGGGCAATACGCTGACTCTGTTAACTGCTTAGAAAGTGCTGTAAAACACTATAAAGCCAGTCGTAGGATTCAATTTTTTTTACTACAGATTCTGTGGCATGGCTTTGTGGGTGTGGCATGGCTTTGTGGGCGTGGCTTTGTGGGCATGGCAGGGAATGATACTGCAAAATCCCCATTTCCTCCCGATCAGCTGGGACTCAGGAGGCAGAGAATAGATGGGGATGAAGCCAGTCAGAGGTGGTATTTACCAGTTCTCCGAACTGATCAGAACCTGCTGAATACCACTTCTGTCTAAGTGCTATTGCTATTACTATCATTCTTGGCTTGATGCAGTCATATATATATAACAACTGAAGATGTAAGAGTTCATGTCACTTCCAATTCTTTTAAATTATAAGGAACAAAAAGTTAAATTTTCAAAGAATATAATATCATTTATATTCATTTATATAAGAGCCGAGGTGGCGCAGTGGTTAAATGCAGCACTGCAGGCTACTGCTAGATCAGCAGTTCAGCGGTTCAAATCTCACCGGCTCAGGGTTGACTCAGCCTTCCATCCTTCCGAGGTGGGTAAAATGAGGACCCAGATTGTTGGGGGCAATATGCTGACTCTCTGTAAACCGCTTAGAGAGGGCTGAAAGCCCTATGAAGCGGTATATAAGTCTACTGCTATTGCTATTCTAATCAAGCAGTGCTTTCAATTCTAAATTTTGAAAGAAGTTGGTAAGTACCGCATATCTGACATTTTAGTTATGGGTTTTTGTATTGTTTTGTTTTCAGTGTATTCATTTCATCAAAATGATTCTATATGTAATTTAAAAAAAATAGTAAGTTAGCATTTCAAACAGTAGTTAAGGCATCTGCTTCATCGTAATAGCAATACCATAGCAATAGCATTTAGGCTTGTATACCCCACTCCATAGTACTTTACAGCACTAGAAATTCTATATCTTTCTGTCCAGCTTTAATTGGCCAATGTTATTTTTTAAAAATAAACTAATTTCTGTATGAATGGTTCAATGAAATTTTCAAACAAGTGTATTTTCAGAGATAATTTTTGGGGGGTTTGGCTTTATTATAAACTAAATGAAAAGCCACAAAATACTGCAAGAATTGTGATTGAAAAACATTTGGTATAACTATGAATATAGTAAATTGTGTGTTCATATAAATTTTGTAAATAAATAAAAAAACAAATAAAAGGAAATGGCTAAATAAATAAATAAATAAATCTAGCAGGCTTGTTAAGTCAATTTGTAAATTGACTATTAAAAATTATCTGTGAGAAAGTTTTAGGAATAGTAGTAGCAGTAATAGTAATAGATCATCAGCTCAATATGTGCAAACATTATTATGCAACAGTGTAACAGCAAGAAAGCCAATGTTAATTTGGATGCATCACCAGAAAACTATGTCTAATTGTGAGAAATAATCATTAACGGTCATGTTATATTAATGATCTCAGTTGGAGTATTATATATAGTATTATACCAGTATATAGGTTCCAGAAAGAACCTGGTGCAGGCTCATTGGAGAACAACAAGAATGGAAAGGGATCGAGAAACCAAGTCCATGAGTAATACCTGAAGATATAAATGTGTTGAGAGTGCAGAGAAGACCAAGGAAAAGTAAGAAAATTACATATGTATAATAGTTGTCACATGTATAATGAGATGGACTTCTTCTCTGTCAAAATTGAGAGAAGGATGAGGATTAGCAGACTGAAATTAAAAGGAGATTCGGGATGAAAATGAGGACAAATTCCTGATGATGAGATCTGCCTAGAATTCCTCCTCATTGGAAGTTTCCAAATAAAAACCAAATGACAATCTCTGGAAATGGTTTAGAGCAGGAGTGTCCAAACTGGGCAACTTTAAGACTTGTGGACTTCAACTCCCAGAAGTTCACAAGTCTTAAAGTTCCCAAGTTTTGACACCCCTGGTTTAGAGGAGCTGAACAGTAGGACTTGTTGACTTATAACTTCTAACTCATACATTCTATTTAAAATATTTATATATATACCTGTTTTCTTCTGGAATATGAAGGGCCATCATTTGCAATGGTTCCAGGCATTGTACCAGCCATCCATGGCGGTCGCTGACACGATCAGTCTCTACTTTCAGGAAACTGTTTGGCATTCTGCTCCAGACAACTGGTGTGAGTGTTTGAACATCCAGCCGAGGAGGGCACTGAGGAATGGGATTTCTCTCTTCACTCTTAAAGATTGCAGCTGATAAAGGCATGGTGTTCTAGAAAATAATACATGGAAATTTAAATTTTTTGAATTGAACCTTTAGAATAATATTCTGTATGCATAATGTATTATGTGGGTGTTTGTCAAATGAATGCAGATTTTACTCTCAGGAGGTTGGTCAGAAAGAAGAAAAATATCTGCATAGTTCCTTTTTCTTCATCCTTATTTGCCAGATACGAAAGGAATGAAACAATGGTTCACATACATTTAATAGGCACCATAATGGTACAAAGCTTAGCAAAGCCAACTTGGGGTAATGTAGCAATTTAATATGAAATGTCATATAATGTAGATGGAGCTTGTCCCATAGATCTGTGGAAGGATATCTTGTCGAATAGCACCATACTGCCATTGTGGTGCAGTGGTTAGAAAGCAGTAGTTCAGGGTAATTCTGCCAACTGCTGGCAGTTCGATTCTCATCCTTCCAAGGTCAGTAAAATGAGGACCAAGTTTGTTGGGGGCAATTTGCTGATTCTGTAAACTGCTTAGAGAGGGCTGTAAAGCACAGTGAAGTATATAAGTCTAACAGCTATTGCTATACTTTCCTAAGTTTATTTTGCTAACTAAGTATAAAACAATTGGATTCACATTTCTTAAATGTGAGAAAACCATCAGCAACAAAACCAAGTGCACTGTAAATAAGCAAGAAATTTAAAAGTATTACAGTTTACCAAAATATTGTCTTGACCCCTGCTGTCTTGCAACTCTATATTGTTTGGGGAAACTAATAATAGAAGCAGAGATTATCCCTATAGTTAAACATTTGCCTGTGATTATTCATGAATCACTTTACTTAAGAATGATTAAATGTTATTTTTATGTAAGACTCTGCTGATATGCTGACTAGTTAACACAGCTTGCCTGTTTGAATTTACTTAAGAGTCACAACATCTATTGATTGTAATTTGATTAAAAAATACCTTTAATTTACCCAGTTCAAACTGTACCAGGTTTGTGCTCGTAGGCTGTAAAAAAACAGCTGGAAATAGTTTTGTGTGTGGTTCAACCTGAAAAATAGAGTTAAAATGCAATATAAACCTATTAGCGGCACATGTGAAAAACTGTAATGATATATTTAGCAAATCATTTCAATCATTTCAGAATAATACTTAAGTCAATAAATAAATATGCACACAAATAGTACAAAATGTGATAGGGTTATATTGACAGCAGCAGTGTGCACTGAGAATGAAACCATGACATGTGATGCCATCATGCAAATAAGTAAAATAAGCATGGTGCCAGCTATTCAGAATATTAAAAAAATACAGCTTCCAGCAGTCAGAAAATTAAATGAGCATAGGAGATCAAGAAAAGTTTTGCTACAGGTTGTATTCAGAGTCCAGAGTGAAGACTGATGCAGGAATGGATTAGAATAAATTCTATTGTAAAAATATATCCATATATATGCCTTTTATTTGCATTTTATGTATAATCCCTCTTCAATAAAACAGTGAATTATTTATGGGTGGGAATATAATAAATGAAGAAAAAAAAACATTGCCCCTAAGAAGTGAAAAAAAACATACTTTAAGAGGAATTGAAACTATATCAGTGCAAATGTCATCCGTTCTGCTAATGGTTATAAAATAATGCTCAAAAGTGATAATAATCACTTTTCAAATCCTACTTTGGGATGATGGCCAAGTTGCTCTGTTTCTCTAGTATACACTAATATTCATAAATCATGGGCAGATTCTATGTGCTTTTGTGTGTTTAAGCTTATGATATAATAGTTATAATATTTCTATTAAAACCATGTCCCTAGATAAGAAAAAAAATCACCTATGTGCACATGAATTTGATATGTGTACATAAGACAAATAGGTTATGATTTGTAGTCATAATTTGGTTCTTAGACATTTCTGAATGCAGACCCTGCATATAAATATAATTATCCCACCTACTTTATCTAACTGCAAAATGAAAAGAGATATTATATGCAAAATAAATTAAGAAGTAGATCAGGTTTTGTGGGGATTGGAACATAATTCCCAATAGAACAAACATGAATATTTATTAAGCCAAATTTGTTCAATCAACATTTTATTTTTTTTTAAAAAGCAAACACCTATTTTTAATTTTTAATTACAGCAACTTTACATTATAAAAAAATAATTCTCTATTTTAAAGGGGAGGGGAGGAGAGGAAAGGAAAGGTGCATGGGACTGAAGGGAGAATTGTGTGATGAAACAATAAACAGTGAAACATTCATAGTATGTCAATCATAGAAGAAAGAGAGTATCACCATCTTCTAGATAAGATATCTACTGTTCAAGGCTGCTATTGAGGGGAGGGTCTTATATTTTCGCCTTTACCTAAATATGGCAAGCAAGATAAAATTGTCAGTAGAATAAATATGTAGTTGTCTGACTCAGCCAGAAAGGCTATTTTCAAAATGAACAGTCATGGAGTCAAATACTTCAGTATAAATCCTGAAATGGAAAGAACTGAAGAGTACAAATTCCAGAATCTAGATCAAGGTTTTAGAAAATACACATTAATTCTGGGCAGAAAAAGTAAAATTAGAAATTGTACCAAATAAACTAAAATGAACCTAAAATAAAATAACAATCTTTGAAATTAAATCCTGAGTGGTTTCTTAGATATATGCAAATAAGTTGATGCTATAAATAAGCTGATAATGTTCCATGTCATTAGACACAAAGCTCACAGATAATGAATGTAATAAATCTGATTTTACTGTCACACATCTTGATTAAAGTCTTTGTGTTTAAGAGGATTGGGCAAAAAAATAGTAGAATATTGTACTCCATTTAGGAAAAAGGTATGCCCCTTAAATTTATGTCTTACTGGAATATCATCTTGCTAAACCATTATTACACAGTCAAAGGCAACGGTGCATGAAGACCAGAGGTGGGTTTCTGCTGGTTTGGCCTGCATCAGTTGAACCATTAGTAGCGGTGGTAGGAAGCTCCGCCCAACCACTTCTGCGCATGCGGGAGCACGCCAGAACAGATAGTGAAAAAATTGGCAACCCACCTCTGATGAAGACAAATATTTGCTACTGTTGAAAACTTTAGGCTGAAAATCTTCAAAATTAAGTGTACCTGATGTTCTGAAGAGCCATATTCAGAGAGGTGACACAATAAACCACTTGAACATGCAAGAAAATCTTGTCCTAGATAAAATCAATTACCACACCTATAAATTTGACATATGGCAATGAGCTCTGGGAGGATTTATTCTGGTTGACACATAAACCTAATTTATAAAGAAAAGAATAGGTGTAGAATATACTGGAATGAATCTTAGAATCAATATTTAAAGCTTTATTGCCTGGAGCCAGAAAAAGACAGCCACTATTTACTTCTATCTAATGTGTGAAGGTTATGTGCACTGGCAGAATCAAAATGAAAAGTTAATATTGAGATTAGTTACATATAGTGGAATCCTCCCTCCCAAAATAAAAACCCCACAAATATGGTGATGTACAAATAAGCATTCCTATAATTTAACGTTACAAAATAATCATCAAAATGAAGCAATGTAGGAATGTTGTTATGGTGACTGTCTAAAACTTCTTTGTACAAGTGTATCCTCAAATGGCAGAAACTAAGATTTGAATGGATTCAGTCACATTTTTCAGAACTGTAAAATAACAAGAATATCAAAGGATGGAATATTATACCATATTATGAGGCGTACTCATTTTCCAAAATGTTCATTACTTTGGTATTGGTCATTGAACACATTGAAGTAAAAATAATCGATTCAATATCAAATGATAAGTTGCCAGAATATGAGAGAAATTGTTAAACCAAGCACTGTAATAAGATGAAACTATGGGAGACAATTTAAGTCAAAGGAACCACTTGGAGATATCAACAGGCTTGTGACATCTCCCCCCCAAAAAAGATATTACTGATTCTTTGGAGAACACTGGGGGAGGGTGGAAGGGTTTAGATGACAATTTTGTCTGAGGTCTAAGGATTGATATGAGTTTGAGAACTATGCTACTGAACTATCTAGGAAATATAGGTCAAAAATGCCCAAAATATTGCTTCTGTGCAGTGGTGGGTTCTGGATCCCATTGCAACCGGTATGGCTCGTGCATGCATTGAATCTGCCAGTGACACCTCCGCAAGCCTCTGCGATGCTCCAGCTGCTCGGTGGAGTGTTGTGCAGGGGCTGTATGCGCCATGCATGTGAGCGGAAGCCCTAAAGGCTTTAAAAGACAGGTAAGGAGCTTGGGTGGGTGGTCCCTCCAGAGCACCGTACCAGAACGGTACACAGTGCTCCAGGCAGGCTCCGGTATGCCCGTACCACCTCAACCCACCACTGCTTCTGTGCTGCTAAAACAATCGCTGCTTTGCCTCTAGATAAGTGCAATGGCATGTGGATCATAGCCTCATAAAAAAACCTTTTGTAATGGCAGAGACGACGACGACGACGACGACTACTACTACTACTACTACTAATAATAATAATAATAATAATAATAATAATAATAATAATGGCATTAGCAAAAATATTACATCCTTTACTGAAAAGGCGATGAAACAATGGAGAACTGAATTGGCAGTAGGGAATGAGCTCTACGGAATGGTTAATATCAAGCGAGGAATTTTCCAGGATGATTCACTTTCACCTCTTCTCTTCAACATCGCAATGATCCCACTATCAGTAATCTTAAAAAAAATGAAATTAGGCTACCAAACAGCCAAAGAAGCTGAAAAAATTTCGCATTTACTATATATGGATGATTTGAAACTCTATGGAAAGTCAGAAATAGAAATCCAATCATTGACAAACACAGTATTCAGCACCGATATTTCAATGCAGTTTGGCATGGAAAAATGCGCCACTGTATCCATAAAAAGGGACAAAATCACTGCATGTGAGGGAATTGAAATGCCCAATGGC